ATTAGTATTTATACTTTTTTAAAAATAAAACTCCCATTCCTACCTTCAAAACTAAAAAGTTTTTGACATTTTATACTAAATAAAAATATAAAAAGCTTTTTATAACAATGGTCTATAAACATAAGGTCAAGACACGTGTCCTATCACTCGCCCGCAGCCGTTGCGGCTTGCGATCGCCCCGCCCGGTTTTCTCTCATCAGCCATCACGTAATACATAATTACTTGTATTTGTAAACGATGTAAATAGGTACGCGAACATTTTTGTTGTTGTTTTGGTATTTATACAGCATAAATATAATAATGCCGGATTCGGAAAGCTCAACGCCAATGACACCATGGTAAAAGAAGAAAGTCAAATATAGTACAAGCTTTGACGAAAACTTATTGAACGATCCACTGTTTAGTACTGTACTTGGTTTAGAAAACGAGACAATATTAAAACATTTATGAAATTAAACATATTGTTGTTGATATGAGATGATACTCTTTCTTTAAAAGCTTCGTTTAAACTTTTCATTTCACATTTTGTTGCAATAAACTCGAGTCGAAATGTCATGTGAGGCATAGTATGTTTTATGAGTTTCGTAAAGGATATAATGTCATAAAAATACTAAAATAATTCTTAATGTGTATAGGGAAGACGCTCCAAAACTTTGTCAAATGTTGTTTTAGAGTTTTCCATTCGAGTAATTTTAAACTAAAGGATACAAAATGTAGAAGGAGACCAAAAGCTGTGAAGGAAGAAAAATTGCAGGAAGAAATTGCTGAAAATACACGAATAAACAACTCGTGAACTTCTAACAAATCTTAATGTGTCGCAGACGTGTGTTGTCTATGCACTTCATGGACTTGGAATGATCGCAATATACCCCGATTAATGCATTAAGTAGGGGGAAAGCAAACTGGATGGGGTATAATTTTGTGTCAAGAAGACAGGCAGAGTTTTATGGATGACAAAATTAAAGTAAAATAGTATTTGTTATTAACCGAAAACTTGTTCTGTAAATTCGTGTTTGTTCTGTGGAGTACCGAGCAATTTTTACCCACTAGAAAATGTGTTCGAATATCGAATTGTTCGACTTTGGTGTAGTTTGCATACTCAGGTAATGCTCTTTCTACTTATCTAAATTGTCGTATTTATAAACATTAATTGATCTAAATAGTTTTAAAAGCAGAGTCTTTACATTGTTCATCACTTTGTTTAAAGATTTTAAAGAATTCCTCGAATTTTTAGAGATTTTAATAAACCAAGTGATATTTACATTGTATTTGAACGTCATTTCTTTTTAAAAATCATCTTTCATTTATAAGATAAAATTACAGACTTGACAATATGAAATAGCAAATTTTAAGTTAATTTCGCATTATAATCCAGAGTATAAAGAAGTATACACAATGTATCGTAAAGAAATAAATAAAACAGAAACATAACGTGATTTTACAATACAAAAAATTTTTCTTGTTCGATAGATTTCGTGTATTAATTAATTTAAGACAGGAAATAAATGAAAATATTAAACAAAATATCAAATCAGAAGAATAAACATCTAGTTTAAAACTAATAAAAAATTACAGTATAATATAAAATACGTTCTAATAGAGAATACCATTCAAGTATTTCAATCTTATCACGTAAAAGGTTTCAACACTTCTAATAAATTCTATGAATAATTAAATGTACTTCATCAATCATATATTAATTATTATAAGTGACAGAATGTTTTATTCATGAATAATAATTATTATTATATGGGAAAAACGGCACATTAGAGCTAGATTTCCAGTCAACAGATGTATAAGAGACAAGCTATGAATAAGAAGTATGATAATATATTATAGATACTTATGTTAATATCTGTTAACTTTATATATTTATAATATCAAAAGAATTTCACCATTTCCAATCATAACAAGGACAGTTTAATTATAATAATAGTAATATATATTTTTTTGCTAAGTTAAGAAATTTTCTCCAAATGTTAAAATGTTAAGAAAATTTTTTCCAAGGTATTTAATGTTAAAAACAGCCAGATCGAATTTGCTGATAATTGGAAAAGTATGATGTACAAGTGAAAACAATATTACACTCCACAAAGACAATTGCTGTGCTATCTGTCGCAGTAATTGCGTAGGCGTATTTATTTCATAATATATAATTGACACAGTAATTCGGTGGATATAATATATACTTTTTAAAATTATCTTTGTTTGTAAGAATTATATTTATTTAAATATTTTGTTAAATATTTTTCAATAGATGGAATTACGTGTAAAACGTGTAAAGGTATACATAAATTAATCGATATATAAAATTCCAATCGATAATTTGGGGTGTAATAAAAGAAATTATCGAAGACAAAAGTAACTGCCGAGTTTCGTAACAATTAATCGAACGGCCTAGGAGTGTATAGCAAACAAACAAACAAACAAATGAACACAGACAAACATTTCATTTATATATATTTATTTTTTTAATATCTTAATATTAGGTATTTTACTTATATTGTAAATCTAAATTATAATATTTATATATTTCTATAAAGATAAATAGTTGTACATAGAAATGAATGTAATAAATACGGTCTCCCCCTATAACATTGTTGATTTTTCCGTTTTATATGAATTCCATGTAGTACAAGTCACTTAGATTTTACAAATACGTGAGCCGTTCACAGCCCAGCACATGTATTTATAAAATCTAAGTGACTCGTACAACATGGAATTCATATAAAACGGAAAAATGAATAGTGTTATAGGAGGGTCGACTATACAATCCGCATACATTGTGTTTATTTATCATAATAAAGAATTGAGAGAAAAGACAAATTTGTAGAGTAATTTGTAAGGTATTTCCTTTCTGCATTTCTGAATTGAGAGGTTTTTTTTTTAAAATTAAAACACTAAATTTACTTTTTAAGGTAAAAAATTAAGCGTAAAACATATTTTAGTTAATACAATTCGGTATTAACTAATTAATATTTTAATTAACTCGGAAAAATGTATAATGAAGCAATTGGTTCAACGAGTGTTTTTATTAAGTTGGTGCATTCGGAAAAATTTGTTATTGTTTATGAAAATATAGTTGCAAAAAGAATGAATTTGCACAATAAGAAATTGTAATTTATTTTATAAATTGTTGAAATATTTATTAATATTTTCAATAATCTTTTATTTATTTGAAAACACACTTCATTAAATATCAAGTAACGTATTAGTTGAAAAGTTTCAGCTCATTAACGTCAATTCCTATATTTCTTAACATAATAGATTGTTGTTTCGCAATTCTTTCAAACACCTGATATACCTTTGCTTTTGTTTCATTTGGAAGTTTAGTTTTTAAAACCATTCCTGCATTTTCATTTTATATTTTTTTCAGTTTTTATTTAGTAATAAATTACAATTCTATGCATTTCGCCTTATTTGTAAGTATAACAGTTCTATGTATTTTATTAATTATCATTGTATCAATGATTTGTTTACAGTCTGTGTTTTATATCTTACGGCATTTTCCATGTCTCTCTTTTAATACAATCGCATCTTTTTAGGTGTGCCCCAAACATTTGAAAACATTGTAGTAAGATAACGTTTTCGTGGTTAAAGGTAGGGGTGGAGAGATAAAATGATCGTGTGTTCTCTAGTAAGATCGGACTTAATGACGATATTACTCATTATTAGCTTTTACAATTTTTCATAAAACCTATCCCTACCGAAAAAATCAACTTTTTTGCTACACTACTTTTCTTTCATTTTGTAAACTGCTGTATATTATAGACAATGAGAAATCATTTAATTTCCTGAGTGATTTCGACAAAAAAAATTACGTTATTGTTTTTTTAATGTAGGATTCTATTTTACATTATTTCATACAACTTTAATGAGGAACGTCATGGATACAACGACAGAAGACAGAAACGAATCGCGTGAAGTTGAGGTAAGAATTATAATTAATAATATTGCGATGATTTCTTCTTTTGTTATTATTGTAAACAACTAATTTAAATTATATTAGTTGTTAATATATTGTTATATTATATCGTATAATATTGTCTACTACTGTATTTTGGTATTGCAACGTGGTCCTCAAGTGTAAGCAAACGAAAGAGATCCGGCTACTTATAATTGAAGATTTTTGTAACATAAGAAATAAAATTGTTTATGAAGAGTAATGAATATATATACAAAGAAATAATCATGTCCCATATGTCAAACATAACCAGCAGAGTAAGGGTTTCATCTACAATACGCGACCCATATATATAACTATAGTGAAGTATGGATAGTATGGATGTCTAAAACTAGATAATAATTGAAACTGATAAAAATAATAAATAAAACAACACTAATTAATTAACACTAACAAAGAAATCTAGCACTTCATTTAGAATGTTACTGTCATTGCATCATCGATGTACACGCTACTTATACAAACATACAGAATAGGCTCTCCAGTAACGAATTCTGCTCACTGTGCCAGATTTCCATTGGGCATAGATATAAAATTTACATTCGAGGCTATCGAAAATTAGCCAGGCGTTTTTCACGCATGCAATCCAGCAGACAGAAAAAATTAAAACCAATATTTCTCCGTTTGAAGCATAGGCTCGATTAAAATTTTCAATTACATGAAGAAGTTCAGTGTTTAGAAAGTATAGTCACAGCTTGAAAGGCTCATTGGCATTTTGCTACTAATGAAAGTATGAAAGTGGTTAACAATGCAATATGGTAGTGTATCCTTTATTAAAATTGCAATATTCCATACCTAAACTTTTATTTCTTTAAACTATACATACCAATCTTTATAAAGGTTAATCAAGCGAAACCTGTGTAGAAAAAAGTTTATTCGTACATATCCTCTATCTCTTTCTATATCGGTGTTTGTTTATTGTCAACAAGTACAATTTATTACAATTTATTTCTGCAGATTGAATCTTTTTACTCTAACGACCTACATTACGTATTATGTATGATATGGTAAATACTAAAATTGTACGTTCTGATAGGAAACTGCGAAAGAATTTCAAGACTTTACAGATCTTATCGGTCCATTTGGAAAATGGCAGAAGATTTTAATCGGGATAATGGCGTGGTCTCTTATTGTTTCGGCATTGAACAATTTAAATTGGCCCTTCTTGGCATATAAAGTAGATTATTGGTGCGCGAGAACACCAAAATACATGAACGTTTCTGTGGAAGACTGGAAAAATATCAGCTTACCCCTGGAGATTAGAAACGGGAGAAAAACGCATAGTCGATGCGAAGTATACGATATTGACGATGCGAAATACGGAAAGAACTTTTCAAAGATTCCTTGTCGTTCGTGGGAATACGATCATTCACAATATAAAAACAGTGTCATTGAAAAGGTAACAATAAAAACTTTTCAATTAAATATATATTCGATGATTGATTTTATTTGAATTTTCAGTGGAATTTAGTTTGCGAAAGTTCTTGGTTGAGTTCTCTCGCTGGATCTTCTTACTTCGTGGGATTCTTCGTATCTGGTATTCTATCCGGCCAGATATCGGATAGGTAGAAAATCTACCATTTCTATTTCATTGAAATGTTATAATTTTATAACAGCATATTAATTTTATCGATATTTATGTAGATATGGCAGAAGACCAGTGATAATATCGGGACTCGTACTTCATATAACCTTTGGAATTCTGTGTTCATTTTCTCCATACTACTGGTTGTTTACAGTATCTCGTTTCTTCTTGTCTGCAGGAATTACTTTCTTTCATCTGACGTTCTATGTATATGGTAAGACACAAATTCAATTCTTACAGTTAATAGAAAGATAATGTTCTCTGACAATGTTAATATGCAACGCTACAATTCATTACGTGAATTATTCATATGATGATAGTTGTGAAATTAATTTTCTAACTACCGTATTCATGAACGAGGATTGAGAGTTAGAGTTAGATGTTAAGCAAACACCGTTTGTCTTACTTTTAGTAGGTGAAGGCTCATTGGTCAACTTTTAACTCTAACTGTTAATCCTCGTTCGTGAATACGGCTGTGTTTGTACCACGAACAAAGAAATAACTATTATACTGACGATCTAAATTTATTTTTATTTGTTACAATTACAAATATCTTAAAACTTTAGATTTGTATTATTAAGTATTTTATATGCAGGAACTTCACTTTAAAAATTTTAAGTTGTTCCAATTGCGAAAAATTTGAGAATGCGATAATTAAAAGACTTTTGAAAATACACAAAGATGTATTAAGGATCAGTTGAACTGTTTCAATCAGATAAATAATATGAAAATTTTATAGCTGCAAATAGCGAAGAACTCCTATTGTTTTATAGATGTATGTAAATTTAAAGTTATGTTTCATATACTGTATTAACTTCAAGTCATTCAACTGAATTACATGTATTTGATACTGATTTCCACGAAGGATGTAAGCGATTAATACGGATAAATCATACATAATTTCTATGTTAATGTTTTATAATTAACATACTGCACGTTTTTATAAATTTAACGTTGATTTCGTTTTCTTCAACTATACTAACTGATCATTGTATGCAGTTATGGAAGTGGTTGGACCAACACACAGAGAAAAGGGCATGGTAACTCTTTGTTTCTCTTTTGGCATTGGATTGCTTATACTTCCCGGAATATCTTGGTTTCTCAACGATTGGACTTATATTCAGTTATGCAGCACTTTGCCGTCAATTCTATTACTCGCATTCATCAGGTAACGTTTATTTACGCTTACTGTGTTAATTATTTTTATATGTTTTGAAAATATCTTTTGATTAGTTTTACTCCCGAGTCTCCAAGATGGCTCCTAACTCACGGTAGATTACGTAAAGCCGAAAAAGTTATACGTAACATAATGAAAATGAATAAAATGCATGCGGAAGATTTAACCGAAATTATCGAAGAACTTTATTGGAAAATTAAAACGGTAAATCGATTTCAATAATAAGTACTTTAAGGTTTGTACTAAATGACAAACTCTGAAATTTTTTAATAAAATACTTTCACCTGATAATGGCAATTATTATAAAGTACACTGAGCATTGTATTTCAGATGTACAAAATATATTTTGCTATTATTTTATCGTGGTACCAACAGACACGTCGTTAGTAACATCGTAAATATTACAATAAAAACTGTAAAATGGGAAACATCATTTAGTTTGTGATTCCAAGTGATTTCCTAATTTCCAATAGATTCAATTCATCTTTTGAAGTAAAAGACGGAATTTGACCTAACGAAATCGGAGACGGCTGTCTTGAATTGTTCTATTGTTACCCAGAGATTGAAAATAGTCAAGAAGGAACATAAATATTTTATATATTTCAGAATAAATGTGTGTTCATTGTAGAAATTAAAAAGAAACCATCTTCGGAGTGGTAAAAGCGACGAACAGTCATCTTTTCACCTGGAGTCTGACAGTGTTATTTGAAATTAGTATAACGGCAGTTGTGATTTGATATTAATTAAAAATCACCGATATACAATCGGTGAGATGACCCGGATTTTTTCTCTAACCTGGTTGCAGTTTGTCCTTCCTAATCTTAGTAAAATCGAACACCGAGTATCTGGTGATTACCTGTATAAAATAGGAATCGAATCTGCCCTTCTATGTTTTTACAGTTTACAGTAGACCCCCCTATAACGCTTAGATACGTTCCAAGCTAACCGAAAATTACGTTGTAGGAATGATTAAATACATGAGCCAATCGCAGCCCGATAGGTGGGAACTTTACGGACTAAGGCTGTTCGAAAGGTTTTCTTCTATAAAATTAACCGATTCTAGACTAATTCCACTCAACATTTCCAAAATACGTATAATTTTTTGGGAATAATCTGTATAAACTATGCTATAAACAAAAAATTGTAGGATTACTTACACCGTTCGACTACGCCGTTGCTTAAAGCTGGTTTTCATCGCGGAACAGCACGCGAAACGACGGCCGCAATTTCTGATAACGAATTTTTGGCAGAAAAATAACTTGACCTTTGGAGACATCATTAATATAAATAATTTTTATGGACGTTGAATAAGAAGTGTTTCTTTCACAAGAAATGTATAAAATTAGTGCTGTATTAGACTTACGGTACCTAATTTACATACTGTGCAGACGATAATAAACTCAACTTACTAGCCTAAAATCTCCGTAGCGTGTTGCCAGGCGGCAGAAAGCATATATATAATTATAATAAAGTTACAATAAATTAAGTTAATATATAATTATATATACAGTACCTAATTTATATATAATTAATATATAATTATATGTACAGTACCTAATTTATATATAATTTATATATAATACTAAACAGACGATAGCAAACTCAATTTAGCCGCTCCGTAGCGTGGCGCAGGGTCGGAGGAAAGTAGTTCGGCTGCTCATCCACTATTGGTCCAGACTCTATCAATCTTGTCGCGAAACGACTTTATAGGAGGTACGTTATACGAAAGTTGCTACAATTTTTTCGCTACGTTATAGGAATTGTCGTTATAGGAACGTACGTTATAGGGGGGTCGACTGTATTATGCAATTTCCTTAAAAAACGATAAACTAAATTATTTCAGAGAAGTATTAATAAAATAAATGAATTCAAACAATCTCATATCCCTTCACACACTTCGTAATTATATGATACTGAATGTTAGGTATAAAACACGGAAAAATACTGTAGTCGTGTGTCAAACTTGACTCTTTGAGTGCAGATTTTGACACAGACCCTTGAACCCAAAAAATCAAAAAACTGTTAAGAAAACCTGTGTATTTGTATTTATGTATGCGGGAGTGAATGTGTGTAAAATTATTTTTTAATATTCACATTGTATATTCACATTTAATATTCACATTTATAAATTCACATTGTATGCTGATGATATTCATATTCAATTAGAACTTATTTATTAAGTAATTGATTTTGATTGTTTTTATATTTAAACAATTATTAATCTGTTATTGTTATCAGAATTAAGGGATGCGATAGTTTTGTTCTAATCTTATTTGATAGAAACAACTTCGAACTGAAGGTCGAATCCATGGGAAGTAAAGAGGATTAAGCCCTCTCCATTGACACAAACAAGACAATTAAAATAAACATTTCAAACTACAAAACATTGTTCTAAACTTCTAATAAATGTATAATTAATATATACGAAAATTTACACTAGATATGATTTTAACTATTATATGTGATTTCATTGTACAGAACGAGGAAAAGAGGAAAATGAACTTTTTGCACTTGATCAGGAATAAAGACTTACGCAAGATTACTTTCATCATGTACATCTTATGGTAAGCATTTTTTACGGGCTTTTCGTTCATTACAAATAATTTTGTCTATTTTGTCATTTCTTAAAGTAATAAATTGTAATGCATCTGTTAATAATATAACTGTAAAAATTGAATTTAAAACTACATTGGAATACAATAATACAGTATTAAATCATTGATTGTGTTAATAAAACGTTTCACTTTTAAGAAATGAAGGGATACACACTCTAACTGACTCCCTTCCTTTTGCTTATTCTAATTATTTAAACACCTTACTAAATCTCTTCCACAACTTCCAGGTTAGTAATAATGTTCGACGTCTACGCATTATCATTGAATGCAGACATCACAGGAGGAAACATCTTCCTTTTTTTTGCTTTATTTTCCTTATTACAATTTTGTGTTTCTGGTGTGATGAGCATTGTTTTACCTCGCTTTGGAAGAAGACGTATTTTGATGTTTGCATACCTTTTAGTGGGCATCACTTCGTTACTCGTTACGGCTGTTCCAAACGGTAAAACTGAAATCAATAATACTAGTCGTTAAAATTACTTTTAGAATCAACAATATGAAATTATGTTTTAATGTAAAAAGTATGTAATTTAGTTTTGAAACTGCCGGTTTTTTTTAATATTATTACAATTCTGAATATTACGGTCTTTTGTAAATAGATCTTATATGGCTGAGGATTGTTTTCGCAGTGTTAAGCAGATGTTGCATGTCTCTCGCAATAAACACAATATATGGATACACTTTAGAATTGTACCCGACTGTAGTTCGTAACGTGGGTATGGGATCGTGTTCCACAGTTTCCAGAATCGGAGCGATCGCAGCACCTTTTATGAAGGATCTTGTAGGAGTTCACTTTCATCTTTAATATTGATTAACTTATTTATACTACTTTACAATATAATGTTATTGTATTTGTCACAGAGTGAAGAAGTGAACTGGCGCATCCCCTTTACTATAGTCGGTGTATTGAGTCTTTCGTCTGGTTTGTGCATGTTGCCTTTACCCGAGACCAAAAATATTCGTTTGCATGATATTATTATCAAGTAAGAAATTATTACGGAATTTTTAAAGAAAATAATTACATGTTATATTATTTATACTTAATTGCTTTACATATGATTTATTGAGATATATTTGATATAATTTATGTGAATATATCGTTAAATTCGTTGAATAGTACAACAGAAGATGAAGAGGAATATAAAATTAATCAAGAAGAATGAGAAAATAATGCGGTTTGAAACTAGAATAATTCAAAATTATTACAAAAGTTGCTTCTAGCTCTTGATATAATTATATTAATTAAATAATCCACAACCGTGAGGCAGATAATAGTGAGGGCTTATGAGACCAACGTGGGCACAAACGCTGATGGGAAGTCCGAAATGCATTTTGGGTTTTCGTTTCACACTTATGTAGTAATATTTTTTGTGTGTTTATTAAATTGTTTTCACTTTGATCACTGAGCGTTTGTGCGCATCATTGGTCCGATAAGCCCTCACTATTATCTGCCTCACGGTTGT